TCCGTAACACTTTATTAACCCTCCCTCCTAATATTACGCTACAATTTTGTACCCCCCTCCCTTCTAAAAATTTTATTAATAGGGATTGGGGTGCAAAATTTTACAAAATACAAAACGATTTTAAATATAATAATGCCTATATAATTCTCTGCAAAAACGAATCTAGTGAAATAACTCCAACTGGCATAAACGGAAGTATAAAACTGAGTCTGTGGAATTATACTTCCTTGGTGATTATTTGTGCGTAATTAATGCCCCGATGTTCAACCTAAACCGAAACTTTCCAAAAATAATTAATTATTTACCAAAAATAAAATTTAGTTTTGTTATTTATCTTACTTGAATCTACTTATATATATATATATATATATATATATATATATATATATATATATATATATATATATATATATATATATATATATATATATATATATATATATATATATATATATATATATATATATATATATATATATATATATTGTATATATATATATATATATATTATATATATATATATATATATATATATATATATATATATATTGTATATAATATATATATATATATATATATATATATATATATATATATATATATATATATATATTGTATATATAACATATATAATTTATAATATATGTTATATATATATATAGTATATAATATATGCTATATATATATATAATATATATATATATATATATATATATATATATATATATATATATATATATATATATATATAATACAAAATACAAAACGATTATATACATATTATATACAAACGATTATATACATATTATATACATATTATATACGATTATATACAAACGATATACATATATATATATATATATTATACAAAATACAAAACGATTTTAAATATAATAATGTCTATATAATTCTCTGCAAAAACGAATCTAGTGAAATAACTCCAACTGGCATAAACGGAAGTATAAAACTGAGTCTGTGGAATTATACTTCCTTGGTGATTATTTGTGCGTAATTAATGCCCCGATGTTCAACCTAAACCGAAACTTTCCAAAAATAATTAATTATTTACCAAAAATAAAATTTAGTTTTGTTATTTATCTTACTTGAATCTACTTATATATATATATATATATATATATATATATATATATATATATATATATATATATATATATATATATATATATATATATATATATATATATATATATATATATATATATATTGTATATATATATATATATATATTATATATATATATATATATATATATATATATATATATATATATATATATATATATATATATATATATATATATTGTATATAATATATATATATATATATATATATATATATATATTGTATATATAACATATATAATTTATAATATATGTTATATATATATATAGTATATAATATATGCTATATATATATAATATATATATATATATATATATATATATAATACAAAATACAAAACGATTATATACATATTATATACAAACGATTATATACATATTATATACATATTATATACGATTATATACAAACGATATACATATATATATATATATATATATTATACAAAATACAAAACGATTTTAAATATAATAATGTCTATATAATTCTCTGCAAAAACGAATCTAGTGAAATAACTCCAACTGGCATAAACGGAAGTATAAAACTGAGTCTGTGGAATTATACTTCCTTGGTGATTATTTGTGCGTAATTAATGCCCCGATGTTCAACCTAAACCGAAACTTTCCAAAAATAATTAATTATTTACCAAAAATAAAATTTAGTTTTGTTATTTATTTTACTTGAATCTACTTATGATTATTATATATATATATATATATATATATATATATATATATATATATATATATATATATATATATATATATATATATATATATATATATATATATATATATATATATATATATATATATATATATATATATATATATATATATAATGGTATATATTTATATAGTTGTAGCAATAATTTTTGTCTTTAATAAACTATATATTATAAGATAAATATATCTCTGAATATAATAATGCAAGATATTTTATAATGGCCTTCTATTGTTTAAATTAATTTAATTTAAACAATAGAAAGCCATTATAAAATATCTTGCATTATTATATTTAATTGTTAAAAATAAATATGATGATATATGTTATGTATAATGTATACATGTAAGTTAAATACAATATTTCTCTTTTTTATGTTGTTATAGTGAAACCTTAGTGCTGACCTAATGCTTCACAGGAAAGCTAAAATATGCCAAAATAAAGTTAGTTGAAGTATTTTTCTATTCATACGCAAGTCTGCAATAAATGTTGCAGGCAGTAATGGTTAAATCAAGTGTTTAAAAGCTTATGTAACATTATTAAGCAGTAAATTTGGCATTTTTCACATGCTAGAAGATACTCGCTTACAAAAAAGTCACTGAATATCAACATCAATATAAAATAAATTACTGATTAGGTATTAGTGCATTATTTTAGTTATTAGTGCAATTTGATTCTGTTTGTGTCAGCTGTTTACGAAATGCTGGCAATTGTTTTAAGTATCTAATAATGCCAGATATTGATTGGTATCCAGTGAGTGACATTATTTCTATGATACATGAGCTTGAGCTCAAATAAATAAGAGAGGTTTAATAGAGATTAAATAAATGATAACATATATATATTTTTTTTTTAATATCAATTAATTATCAGTTAGATAACATATTTTGACTTTTTTCTTTAAGAATCTCTTATTTATTATAGAATTCTTTAGTAGTCCTTATATATTATGGAAGTCTTTTAAAAAAATTTTCATTATTAATTTGGAAGATATCAGTTGTTTTTGACTTTGAGATAAAATGGCTCTTAATTGTGTAAATGATGTTTTTAGTATCACATTTAAACAATAATGAAGGCCTCAATAGTTACTGATCATTTATTTGTTCTCTTTCCACTATAAAGACCAGATTAGAGAAGAGGCAACTAACCATTTCTTTCTTTTTGTTAAGAAATGGTTTATAATTGGTTGCATTCCTCACATAGGCCAGTATGCAGGTTAAAGGGACAATGGGTTCCAATAATATATTTAGCAGTTGATAATTGAAATATAAGGTGATTTAAAAATGATGGAATTTTTGGTGTGAACATGACAAGTTTATAATATTTTCATTTTAAGATAGTTAGATCTAATAATTTTATATACTGGTAATCTTAGATCAAAACAAAGTATTATAAAAATTTACAAGCATCTCAAAATGGCTGAAATTAGGCTTTTCAGGCAAATTGAAAATATATTTTTAGATATATTCAAGTTTATAACAAGCTGCTTAACCAGAAAACTTACCTGTAAAGACTTGTGGATGAATAGAAAAATACTACAGTAAACTTCATTTTTGCATATTTCAGCAATTTTAAAATTTTTTTCAAAGTTATATTTTTTAAGGTTTTAATTTTTTACTAATATTATACAAAATAATAAAAACTACTTTTTAAAAAGAAAACTATCCAGATAATAATTCTATAAAAAATGAGACACTTGTTGAAAGTGAAAAAAAAGTTATAAGACTCTAAAACAGTCTGTTTTGATCATGTCTAAATTGAGGTTGGCCACTGTGTTGTGTTTATAAAGCTATAATTTCTAAACCATTGAACTTGGAAATCTGAAATTTCAAATTTAACTTATCTACATAATGCACATAATGATATGTTAAAATTAGGAAAATCAGAGATAGCGTCCCACAGGACATTGGTTAAATTATAATAAGATGACCCTATATGTGTATATATATATATATATATATATATATATATATATATATATATATATATATATATATATATATATAATAATCATAATAATAATAATATATATATATATATATTATTATTATTTTATTATTATGAATATATTTCAGACAACAGGCATATACAATTTAAGTGCCTGGTCCATAGTTTTTAAAAGAAAAACATTTCAGTATTTGATTAAATAAATGTTTGGAATTATTCACTGCATACCGTTTTCTTGGTATTAAAGGAAATCTTAATTAAAGAAGATTCCTTATTTGTAAAGCTAAGTAATTTTTAAAGAGAAAACCAAGAAAGTGCAAGAACCATATTATCAGCGTATCCCAACACATTCTTGAAGATGCTACCTATATTACAGCCAATACGCAGGTTTAAGATTGATAAAATTAAATTGTGTATGTAAAAGTTAAATAGAAGCGGCAACAATATACTTCCTAGGCAAACACCATTTCGCACTCCAAATCTATTTGATTTTGTTTCCTGCCATCAAACAGACATTTTTTGATTACTATACAAAAATGCCAGCAAACAAACAAGTTTTTTTGGGTAACCCATTATCTAGTAATTTCTGAAATAACAGCCAGTAATTGACTGTCAAATGTTTTATTAAAATATATAAAACAAGCAAATACATGACTTCTTCTAAATCTATATTCTTTTTAAAATGGTTTGAACATGATGTTGTTAAGTGACTTTGTTTAAAGCCAAATTGGTAGTTACCATTTTTATTAATGTTGTGCATATTGATTTTCTGCAATAAAAGACTCAGATATTTTTGATTCAGCAGAGGAAACTCAATAACAACATTACAAATACTATGCAATCTGTTGTATCTGATACCATACCTCATAGTAATTTTAAACATAAAAATCTTGAATATATTACTCCAGGCTGGAACAATTATGTTAAAGATAAGCATGACGTTGCATGGGATGCATTCAAACTTTCCTTGAAAAATCAGTGGATTTTTATATATATATATATATATATATATATATATATATATATATATATATATATATATATATATATATAATTTATATATATATATATATATATATATATATATATATATATATATATATATATATATATATATATATATATATATATATATATATATATATATATATATATATGGTTTTAAAATTTTTATTTTTTTGTTTAAGTGATATGAAAAATGAATGAAGTAGAGGAGAAGGAACCCATTTCTGAAACAAAATTATCAAAGATTAATGACAGTGATTGCGTTAAAGATAGTTATCCAGAACAAGATAAAGAAAAATCCAGAAAGAAAAAAAGAAAACATTCATTAACTAAGGAAGAAAAAAAAAAGAAAAAGAAAGATAAAAAGAATAAAAAAAAGAGGTTGAAAATGATTGCAGAAAGTTTTTCATCTGGTTCTGTAAATATAGGAGAAAAAGCAATTTTACCCAATTCTTCAAATATTATTGAAAAATCTGCAAATGTAGCTTCCAAAAGTAAAAGGTAGTTTCCTTTTGTTTAATTCTTTTAATAATATGAAATAAATAATAACAACTAATTATAAAACCTAATAAAAATGACTAATAAAATTCAGGTGTAAAGTCATCTTTATTAATGTTTTTCTTGCTGCAATTTTCTTATTGTTTATTTTTAAAAAGAAAAATGATTTTCATACAAAACTTCACTCAATAACATTGTTTCTCTTGTCTCTATTTCTGGTTCTATATATAAATATACTTATACATATGGGCAATTCCATTTTTAACTTATGCTACAGGCGCAACAACTTTATCAAATATTTGCCTACTTAAACTGTAAATTAAACTTTTAGCTTTTTTGTATGAAAACTGTTAGTCTAAAAAATAATATAAGCTAAAAAGTTTCTTACGTTACACGGAAAGTAAAAAAATTGCTTCAACTTTTAGGTCAGATTTCTGCGAATCAGTAAAGCGGTTTGTATTAGAAACTTTCACAAGATGTTAAGAATTCTATGTCAATTTATAAAATATATAAAAATTTATCAGAGGTGACCAGCTAAGGAAAATAAACTGTTTTTTTTGGTACTTTATATTTAACTTACATTACATCACTTACATTACAGAGCAATTATTATCCTGGATTTTTTATATTTATTATTAAGAGTTAGAGTTATGTAACAAAAGAATTGCAAAAGTATTGAACTCATTCATTAAAGGGATTCCCAACTGCTGAGACAAGTTATGTTCATATTAAAGAAAATGTTTTAAAAAAAGCATTTAGGCTAAATTTTTCTGATTAAAACTAAATAATGAATGCCACCATAAAATGAAAATTCACGTTTTAGTTAAGGCTTGCCATCTCCATTTTTTTTGGTTCTCGGAGTCTATATAATGTTAGCTGCAATCTGCAGACTTGATAATTTATTTCATGCGTGTTTAACTCATAACAGTTTTGGTATATGACATCATCGTATAATTTTTTTCTCTCAAGATATTATATTATTTTGTTGCCACAATCACTTAATTATGTTAATCGTATAACTTTTTACTAAATCCCAAAAAAAAGTTTGTGATACAATTAAAAGTTAAATTTATAAAATTTAAAAAAATTTAATGCATAACGAATATTTGGAGTAAAACGTACTGGTTTAAACTAAATATAAACTAGATACTAAAAGAATAATTTTACTAAAGCATATAAATTAATTTAAAGTATAAACTGAACAAAAAACCAGTGACTTGAATAAAACATATAAAATTAGTAGAAAATAAATACTAAACAAATTATTTTACTAATAACTATACAAATCAAACTAAATTAAAGTTAAAACAAATATTTGTACTGAAATATACACAAAAAAAGTTGAATAAAAAAAAGCAATTGCTTTTACTCAGTAATTGGTCAGCTTTACATAAATAAAACTTTCAGCATTTTTGCTTAAGTTTTTATTCATGTAAAGCTGAGCAATTACTGCAATATATATATATATATATATATATATATATATATATATATATATATATATATATATATATATATATATATATATATATATATATATATATATATATATATATAGTATATATATTACTGTTACCCGCAGTATCAGGAATTAGCTAAATGCTAATATTATAAATATTAGCATTTAGCTAATTCCTGATACTGCGGGTAACAGTAATATATATACTATATAGCTCTAGTTTATTTATTGAGCACTCTTTAAAATATACATTATTATACATGATAATATAAAGAAATCATCTTTAATATTTACATATATGCACCCACGTATATATATATATATATATATATATATATATATATATATATATATATATATATATATATATATATATATATATTTATATCATTCACTAATATTCGTGGTATTAGCAGTAACTTTTCTTCTGATGAGTCTTATCTCTTGCAAAGTTCACCAAACCTACTTGCTCTTTGTGAGACTAATTTGAGTTTAGCTGTCTCATCTTGTGATCTTAGTGTTGATGGTTATCTTCTTTTAGTTAGTAAAGACTCCAATAGTCACATGCTTGGCCTGGGCATATACATTCGTAAGAATTTACCCATTTGTCGGGAAACTAGGTTTGAATCCACAGACTACTCTTTTATATGCTTTCATTTAGCACCACTTCACTCTATCGTCTTCCTCTTTGTTCTATAACACTCTCCTTTATCTCAAGACTGCACTCTTCTTGATGTTATTTCTGATCATATTGACCTAGCCCTCTCTCTTTATCCGTCAGCCAATATTGTTGTTGTTGGTGACTTTAATGCTTGTCACACTGAATGGCTTAGCTTTTGTGTCAGTGAGTCTGCAGGCATTAAAGCCCACAACTTTTGCCTTTCTCAATCCCTAAATCAAATAGTCAACTTTCCAACTCGCTTTCCAGACAACCCGAATCATTTACCTTCACTACTCGACTTATGTCTTGTTTCTGATCCTAGTCAGTGCTCAGTTTCTCCGCATTCAGCTTTAGGTGCTTCTGATCACAGTTTGATATCTCTTAAACTATTATCTCATTCTTCTTCTTCATCTGAATCCCCCTATCGTTGTACATATTACAACTACCTTAAAGCTGACTGACTTTTCGTGATTTTCTTTGTGATGGTCCTTGAGTAGAAATCTTTGATCTTCCTGCTGACAAATGTGCTTCATGCATAACTTCGTAGATTCAGGATGGCATGGAATCCTTTATTCCCTCTCAATGATTCCAGGTCAAGCCTCACTCCTCTCCATGGTTTTCCTCACATTGTGCTGCTGCAATTGCCAATCGAAACAGTTACTTCCATATCTATCAGCAAAACAATTCTCCAGAAAGCAGGCGTCTGTTTATTACTGCTTAAAACTAATTTAATCAGTAATAAACAGACTTAGTAATATAAGTTATTTTATACTACAACAATTTTGATTTTGATAAAGCAGAATTTATTATTGTAAATGTGAATACAACATAATTATACTATAAAGTTGTAGAATTTAAAAAATATATATATATATATTTTCTGTATAAACACAGATGCGCAGTGCAGAGAGATTTTTTTTTCCTAAAAATTATCATTTATATTTACATTATCGTTGCAACTAAGATGAAAAAGTCATTTTAATAATAAACTATTCTTTGCATGATAAATTGCAATGCTGTATTAAGGCACGGTTCCAAAGTGCTTTTCCAAACCTCTGCGGAGATAAAAAGGACTGTTCAATGTCAGATGTAGATTGGTTTACCTCTTGCTTTTGCTTCTTTCTTTCACGATCTTTGATTTCAATGCTTAACTTTGTTTATTTTAATTCTAAATTCTTTTAAGCAACTATTTTCAATTAAATCTAATATAGAATTTTAAAACTATATTTAGTTTAAAGTCTTTTAATTAAAAAATACTTTTAAAAAATAATTTTTTTCTTTGAAAAATTCATAGTTGCAGTTAAATGCTTTTCTTTACTATCTTTAGTTCTATTACTTTATCTGTAAATCCTTAAATAAAATTTGAAAAAAAAAAGAATAAAGTAGCATTTTTTGTTCAAACAATAAAACTTTTAAGTTTTTATTTAGGAATTATTTTTTTAAATGCATTTAAACTCATGTTTTGTTCTAATTTAATAATAGAAAATGCAAAGAACAAACTTTGGTACTGACTTTTAAAATATAGTTTTATTATTATTTTAGATAAAAACTTTTCTTTTTATAGAATTCTTATATTAAAAAAAAAAAAAAAATACTAAAGATAAAAATCAATAGTAGCCTTTTTAGGCAACTTTATTGCGTCAAAGGAATATTTTGAGTTGTCCTTCACAAAATTAGGTTGCCTGGTACCGTCGGGCAACCACGAATGATATATATGTATATATATATATATATATATATATATATATATATATATATATATATATATATATATATATATATATATATATATATATATATATATATATGTATATATATATATATCTATATGTATATATATATATATATATATATATATATATATATATATATATATATTATATATATATATATATATATATATATATATATATATATATATATATATATATATATATATATATATATATATATATATAGGCCTTGGCAGGAAGCCCACCCTTTCCCACACTCCCCTAAAACAGTTTACGGGAGCAATTTATGGCTCTCACAAAAGTATGACTATCAGTAACTAAACTGAAAAACATTTTTATAAAAATTCATTGCATAATAAGCTGTAATGCTTTTTAAAAGACACGGTTGTTGCAATAAAGTAAAAAAAAAAAAAAGCGCCAATTTAAATGCAAATATTTTTGATTAGATTGGACTAACTGATTAATATAAAATTATTACACTCTAAATTATTGAATAATAATTTTTATTTTATATTATGATTGCATATCTTATATATTAATTACTTAAATATATTATTCACTTTTATTGTGATCTTTTTAATTGTTATAATAATTCTTAAATTGCCTGCATTCTCATTGCAATAAGAAAATAAAAAAGATTTTTCATAAAACTTTTATAGATCTTTGTCAAATTTTTAATCAAATAAGTAATGTTAATAAATAAATGGATATGTAATGTAAAAACCCAACAATAACATTTGCCTCAAGATATATATGACACTTGTTATAATCAAGGTTATAAACATACTTTATAACAAGTATTAAACCAAAATAAACAGAGCGCTCGCGTAAAAACTAAAAGCTCTTGTAGGAAGCTGTTAAGAGGAGCAGCTCGCATGGCTTGCCATGTTTGTTTTAGAAGAGCTTTTCTTTACTCTTGCACTCATTTACTCCTGCCGAGGCCTACATATATATATATAAGTATATATATATATATATATATATATATATATATATATATATATATATATATATATATATATATATATATACTCTACATAAATATATATATATATATATATATATATATATATATATAGGTATGGTATGTGGATTGAAAATTTTTAATTGATCAAAGGCTAGATTGTTATATATCATTGGAAAGTGCTTC